TATGGTCAAGAATATAGGATCCTTTTCTCTGGAGCTTAAAGAATCATTCATTTTCGTAGACCGCTGTTCCTTTCCAGTGTATCGCGTGGAAGTAACTTCAGAACATTTTTCCAACTTCCTCTTTTTTCAGCCAGTAAGGCAGGTTTTTAATTTAACCAATAAAGCGGCTTGTAAAATACTTTTGCAAGTCATTCTCCCGTGAATTTGCAAAGGAACCCCTTTCCTGCCGCTTCCCATTAATCCAGTTGTTTCGTAACTTTAGCACTAAATGATTTTTTCTCCTTTTCCCGGTTAGCTGGGTTGGTTGTGTCGGTGCATTGTTTTCCGCTTAATATCTGTATGTACAGAGACCAGCGGATTAGTTTAGATAGTTTTGTTTAATGCCCATAAGTAAGACCTATGGTTTTCATTTGAACAGACAGCGCTTTATTTCTTAAACCATCTTAAAATTCGTCATGGAGTTTGTTTTCCCGTTAAATATGTTGCTTTGCACTATAGTTGGGAGCATGTTTTCCACGTGAATCTACTTTATTTGCTTAAGCTATTGTTCACCTGTTGGTATTAGCTATTGCATTTGTAATGCTTTCGTAGGTACCGCACGCCATCTCCTCATGGGGGTCGATCTGGCAGCGAAACACCGCCTCACTGGCGCAGAGAGATCTCACGACTGAAGACTCTTGAATCGCTTAAGGCTAAAGTTGAAGAAAGTGATGAAGATGCAACGGACGGTCCTGTGGAACCTCCTGCGGTTGAGGAAAATAAAGAAAGGGGAAGTGCACCGCGACGCACAAGTGTTTCCAGAGAATCGGATCAAAGAAAAGAAGACAGAGCAGCTCGAAGTCATAAGCGAAGCTACTCCAGGACTTCTAACGGCCGATCCCATAAGCGGGAGCGCCAGTATGAATTCCGTAGCGCTGTAGAAGTAAACAGCAAAACCTGAATTGCACAATTCAGCCTCGTTGCTTACCTCGCTACGTTGTCATGTGACTTGGTTGGATGTCCTTGCCTCATCTTCGCCTGTCAGAAGTGATGATCGTCTATACAGTTCTTGCTCAGATGTAAAATTTTTTAAATGCGCTTGGTTTTGCCAGCCACGTTTTTCGTTGTGATGAATTGATACAAATCTTCTAAAAACTAAATCATTTGTATGCCTGCAGTTTTTTTTGAGAAATGTTACATCTTTTATACCTTGTAATATGTAACTGAAGGTTTGTTGTTGAACTCCTTGTAAAAGTTTAGTAAATATTAAATGCTGTTATGTGTTTTGTTTTATTACTTCCATTTTTTATCAGTTTATGCATATTTTGGATGAGATGTTCTGTACCGAATTTTGGTTGACATTTTTATTTTTTATGTTCCCTGTTTTCAGTCCAAATTGTATTTGTTTGCCTGCATATTTGCTAAAAAAATGTAGATGTTGGCATTATCAGTTGACCACATTTACAGTAGGGGCCAGCAAAACTGCTTTAATAAAAAATCTATAATTCGTCTTCACGTTGCGGAAACGTTAAGGTAATGCCTTAGCAGCTTCGTATGTAAAGCTACCGAAATGATGCGACCAATACTGAACGGCGGATGCGCCTACTGTTTACTTCAGAACCAAACGCTGTGTACCTGTTAGGCTTCATCTTTTACGGTAGTATGATATTTTTTCTTGATATCTTCTTTCTCATTTACATTTGCTGC